AACCAAGGAACAACAACTCCTGTTTCTCTATGAGCTAAAACCGCTGATTTTTCCATGGATTTGTTTGTATTTAGAGTAGAAGCACACACTGAGGGAAAAGTGAAGGTTCCTATTAATCCAGAGTGATGTTTATGGGCTCTGACTGTTCTAATGAAGAACATCCATTAAACCCAGGTCACAGTTCCATGATGAATTCACTCCTGTTATATATTAATGTCTGATGCTGATTACATTAAAAAAAGAAGTGACCCTGACCCTGACCCTGTCCAGGAGAGTCGTTAGAACAGAGTCGATACAGCTGACTCTGACTCTGACTCTGACCTGGTCCAGTTCAGCAGTTGACTGTGGCTGTGACTCTGTTCTGCAGGTTCGCTGGGAACATGGAGCGACAGCAGGCAGATAACCTGCTGAAATCCCACAGCAGTGGAACCTATCTGATCAGAGAGAGAACGGCCGAGGCTGAGAGGTTCGCCATCAGCATCAAGTGAGTGTGAACGTCCAGCCAGGCTTCTGTAGTTTACACAGCCTGTCTGACCATCGGACGTGATGTGGGATTACAGATTAGGATTAGAGTAGCATATTAGAAGTGAAAAAAAAAACCCAAATAAGTCTGAGGTCAAAGTCAGGTTGAATGGTTTTCAATTCTCTTCCAAATGTTAAAACTTTTAACCAGACCACCTAAAAGTCCATGATCGAAATGTATTTTCTTTAAAGTAAATCAAACCAACAGTAAGAAATAAATTAAATTAAAATTATTTAGTGTGTTGTGAGTTGATGTTATAGCATAATTTATATACATAATTCAAATACACTAACAATAAAACAAAAAAAACCTTTTCTTTATTGTTATGGGATCAGTAGTCTGCTCTGTGGTTAGACAGGTTTGTTCTGACGACAAGAGGACAAGGTCAGACTTTTCTGTTTCAGGTTCAACGACGAGGTGAAGCACATTAAAGTGATAGAGAAAGACAGTTGGATCCACATCACCGAGGCCAAGAAGTTTGAGAGTCTGCTGGTGAGTGGGCAGAACCTCAGAACCAACATAGAACCACCACAGAATCACCACAGAACCACCACAGAACCACCACAGAACCTCAGAACTACTGCAGACACACAACACAAGCACAAAAGTCAAGAAGTAAAGGAACCAAAGAATCGCTGAATCAGTACACAGCAACAGAACAACACAAAGTCACAGAACCACAATCACAGAACCTCAGAACCAAAAACAAGTCGAGCATTGAAGCCAGAATAGGAACAAAAGAAAAAATGTTTGTCTTGTGTGTTTTTGTGCGTGTGTGTGTCAATCAACAGGAGCTGGTAGAATATTATCAGATCCACTCTCTAAAGGAGAGCTTCAAACTGCTGGACACCACACTGAGGTATCCATACAAGTCCAGAGAACGGTCTCTGACTCGGACCAGTACACGGTCTCCAGGTAACGCTGACCCTTCATGGTTATTATTTTAGATTTTATTTTATTATTATTATTATTTTTAATAAGTCAGCTCAATATGAGATAGACACACAGATCAGAACAGACATACGGATCAAAGTCCATAGAAAAAACAGTGATTTTAGCTCACAGACCAAAGTCCATAGAGAAAATCAGTGATTTTAGCTCTAATATACAGTATATATATATATGTTTTCCATCTGACTTCAGCTCTCTACTCTATAACCTAATAGCCTTTATTTCCTCCTCCTCTTCTTCTTCTTCTTCTTCTTTGTCTTCCTGTTCGCAACTCAGCAGCCTCCTCCTGCGCCTCCTACAACTTCTCCTTCCTCAGTCCACAAGGCCTGAACTTCTCCTCCTCTCCCAGCTCAGCTCCTTTTTGGTCAGGTACTGTTTCTTCTCCTCTTTCTCTTCTCACCATCCTCATCCTCCTGCTGCCTCTCCTTCTCTAAGGCTTCATCCATTATGAATGTTTGAGCAGACCTGACGCCGCCGACCTCATTACTGACTCTCTGTGGAACTATTTTCATTAGTGGAACTTTTTCAGTTCCTCCCAGAACGACAGCCGCTCATTAAATGAAGAAAAGAAACCAATTTTCTCCCCCTTAACGAACGGATGTGTCTGTTCTCAGCGCGGCTCATTTGTGACCGTGTTGAACAGTAAAGTGTCGACACTTCCTCTGTTTCTGCATCGGTACTAATTACTGCTAATATGTTCACCCTGACCTTTCGTGCTACTCCTGTTCACAGATTCTAATTTCATCTTTAATTTAGAGGCAGAGGAGAACAACCTCATTCTTCTTCCTCCTCTGTGATTTCAAATAATGAGCAGCGAGTGTGTTTGTGTTGGATCGGTTCCAGTGTTCACTCCTCGGGTGGTCAGTACCGCTGTGGCTCGGTACAACTTTGCAGCCAGAGACATGAGGGAACTGTCCCTGCGAGAAGGCGACGTGGTGAAGATCTACAGTAAGATCGGAGGAGACCAGGGCTGGTGGAAGGGGGAGACCAATGGACGAGTGAGTGATGTCGACGAACCAACGGGAAACACACACACACACACACACAGACTTACTTACATGGACTCCCTCTCTGAATATGACTCTGACTCTGTCTCTGTCCCTGACCTTGTCTCTTTAACTCTGTCTCCATCCCTGTCTCTGTCTCTGGCTGTGTCTGTCTGACTGCTAACACCTCAGCCTTCTTCTACTTCATGAACTGGGGTCATTGCCTAGCAACAGTTCAGGTACTATTTACAGTAGCCGAGAGGTGGAGAAACGGTGCGGTCTCTGAATAAAACCCTGTTCTTCACACAAACACAGTAAAAGGTTTTTTTTAATATAAACCTTCATTTATTATAGAGCGAAAATAAAAATAACATCTTGAAGTGCCTCCGTAAATAAGTATGTCTGTAGAACATCATCAGTTCCTGAGAGAAGAACAGTCAGACCTGAACCACCTGAACCCTCAGACAGGTCTTCTCAGAGTCCTGTGTCCACCTGTCAGCTGGACTTTCTTGTCTCTTTTCAATTAACACTCCAAACACCAAACAACCATTTACTCAACAACAGAACCTGAGTGGTTTAGCTCAAGCGTCACCTCTCCTGTATAGTTCTAGAACCCTCAGTCGCAGGAACCATTTCCCAGAGCCAAACAGTACTTGTTTCTAGTGTCTGTCTGTGTTGTAGCTGTGGTCCAAGTCCAGTAACGATCAGACAAATCAGTCCGTTAGTAGAACTGTACATACTGCTACTGGTACCACCACTTAGAATACAGTGGACAACTGTTGTAGAGAAGTTTTTTTTTATTTTCACCTTGGATCTTAACAACAACAGTTTCATAAAAAATTTTTAAAAAAAAGTTGTGAGTGTCTGATGATGGCATCTCTTCCTCCAGGTCTTTTAAACTATTTCCTGGTTCTGGTCCAGGGTTCTAACCTCCAGCTTCCTGTTTCAGATCGGATGGTTTCCTTCCACCTACGTGGATGAAGAAGGAGTTCAGTGAAGCTGCAGATCTTCTCAGCTCCTCTATCAGAAACCTCCTTCTACCTGCTGTTCTCAGAGAAAACAACTCCTCCAGGAACCATGAGGAGAAACCAAACTTTCTTTCCTTGTTGCTGAGGGAGTTTTTAATGATGCATCAGAGTTGTTTTTGTTTCTGTCCTGGTTCTTTTGGGTTTTTCTTGCCTTCACTGAAGTGAAGCTGCAGCAGAAAAACAACCAAAGCTTTACCTTTACTGCAGAAGAAAACCCCAAATGCTCCTCCTGTGGTTTGATGCAGGTGGTGAAATAATTGTACAGTACAGATAATTTATTGAACAGAGAATATTATCATGAGGATTGATTATTGTGGGGAACTGGATTTTAGCCTTGAAAATCAAATCGAAAAAAAAGGACAAAAATTTAGAGTGAGGTTTTTTTTGCCTTAGTTGCCATGGTGACACCTTATAGGCTCACACCATTGTTGGTTGGGAATCAAACACACACACACATACAGTCAGAGGGGACGACCCATGTACAGTTCTGTGCCTTTTGAAGCGGATCGTTGTTTTTGTCCAGAACCTTGACGTCAGTCCCAGTGTTTTTGGACTCACAGATGAGACACTGGACATGGTGAAGACAGAGGAGACAGCCATGACAGAGGAGACAGTGAGGACATTTGGGACATTGAGGACAAAGACTGGTCTGCAACATAATTTCTGAGCATCAGACAGAAGATGCTGAAGTGTTCCAGACATTTCTCAGAAGCCGTTTTTACTCAAGTCAATTTTCTAACAGCAACACAAACAACATGATGACTTGGGCTGTCACTCTTTTCAAAGTATGAATAATGTTGGTTTTTTGTTTAGTGAGAACAAGGTGATTTGAATTTGAAGCACATTTGAATTTTTTTAATCTTATTGGCCGATCACAAAAGTCTTAGTCTTAAAATTATTTTGATCTTTTTTGATAAAAGTGACAGCATCAAAGTCCACAGTGATGTCAGTGACCACAGACTAATGTGAACTCCCCTTTGACCTAACATCACTGATTTTTTTTCTATGTACTTTGGTCTGTGAGCTTCAGTCACTGTTTTTCGTAATGTAATTCGTCATGGGAGAGTGAGTTGTTTAAGTTTTAAAAATGTCCAATAATTGGATACATGACACCTATGACAAGATGACAATATCAGTTTCCCATACCAAAGTCCACAGTAAAAATCAGTGATTTTAGCTCATAGAGGTTGGCGCAGGTATTGATCAACTGCTGCCTCAATCACTAACTTCTAATGTTATTTGGAGAACTCAAATTGCTTAGTTCAGGTTTACTTCAGTGACACTAACTGACCACTTGAGGCAGCAGTGGACAGTAAAGTCTGTGAGCTAAAATCACTAATTTTCTTTATGGACTTTGGTCTGAGCTAAAATCACTGATTTTCTCTATGGACTTTGGTCTGAGCTAAAATCACTGATTTTCTCTATGGACTTTGGTCTGTGAGCTAAAATCACTGATTTTCTCTCGGACCACAGTCTCTGTACTGGTAATGTGCTCGGTGATTAGAGATGCATTCTGTAATAACAAAGGGAAGCATCAGCAAATTCTCTACTCTGTCTTATTCAGCTGTTGGAAACCGTCTTGTTCTAATGTTTGTTTTTTTGCACAGAGCCGATGTGATTAATTGTTAGTTGTAAGAACTGGATCATTTATTGCTTGTGTTTTTTTAATTATTTAATGCCAATCTCAGCCATGATTGAACTCGTACTCTGCCTTATTTTTTTACAGGTAATTTTGCAGATGATGAGATGATTCTTTTACTTTATTATTAGTAAAATCTACACAGGTGTCAAACCCGGTATTTTGGTGCTTATTATAAAAAAATTAAGAGTAATAGAGGAGGAAAAAGAAAAATGGAGGTTTCATCTGAAGGAGAAAACGATCATGACATAAGTTCACAGAAGGAACCTTTAATCCTACCTGGATTTATTTTTACTTTTCTGTCTGAAGTGTTCAGTGTGTCCATTTACTTCCAGTCTGAGGGTTGTGTTTGGGTCCTTTTTACTTTAGTGCTACAGGTTTAAATAATTTCCCTTTAGTAATAATTATGACTGAAATGTAGAAAAATTATTTGTAAGTGTAAGAAATAATAACAACACTAGTGGGCGCTCTACTCTGGTGTTTGTTGAGATAATATTCAATATTTCTTTGGTTGATGAAAATTTTATTAAATCTCATCTCGTGATGACATCAGAAACTTTGCCCAAACACTAAATTCAAATTTGAATTTTTCAAAATATGCCATCATCATAGAACAGAATTAACTTAAAATAATTTCACTTTATGAACTCAATGTCTGATTCGTCTTCTGTTTTATTTATTTTAATTTGTTTGTTTCACTGGTCTCTTCCTCTATCTCTTTGACCTTTGACCTTTGACTCAAATTGAGTACCATTGGTCTGAGTGTGAAGTACTGTGCACTCACTGAACACTTCAGCTCTTCTCACACTGTCACATGTTCCACTGGAGGTTTCGTCTTTATTTTCCAAACTCTTCACTGTCAACGCGTGAGCTTTTTTATTCACAATCATTCTGAAAAAAGTCAAGAAAAGGGACTGGGAGGGATAATGGGGTGGGCGGGGCCTGTTCGCTGTTGATGTAGTGGACTTTAAACCCATTGCATGTAGCTGTTGATATGTCGACTTCCTGTATGTACATCCTCAGAGAAAACTTCATTGTGTACATTTTTTATTTTAAAAATATTTCCAGATGAGGTCTATCATGAAATAAATATTTCTCTTTTGTTTTAAAATAAGGAACATGTTTTTTCAGTTTCCAGTTTCCAGTCTTTAATTAACATTGCTAACTGTTTGATCTTTTCTGGCAGGAAACATCCACAGTGTTATTTTGTGACTTAACTGTTGAAAACTCTCTCTTCAGATTGACCTCTGTGGACCTGAGGTAAAATCTCTGATCATTTCTAGGTCAGGTGTAGTAGTAAAAATCTTAAATTTTCTCTATGGACTTTGGTCCGAGCTAAAAATCACTGATTTTCTCTATGGACTTTTGTCTGAGGTAATATCATTGATTTTCTCTATGGACTTCTGTATTGTCAGTCAGACCGCGTAGCCGTAGGCCTTGTTATATTCCACTGCTGTCATTTTTACCGGCGTGTTGTTGCCATTGCTGTTGTCCCATGACGATGGTTGTGTTTTTATATCGGTCTCAGCTCTGACCACTGGACTGTAGAACCCCTGGTGGTGCTGACTGTTACAGCGGCTCGTGTGGCGGCTGACGGGGCGACTCTGAGGCGGTGCAACATCTTCCCTGTTTGAAAACAGAGCAGAACAGGTTTGCCTTCACTCTACTGCTTTAACACCTGAAGTTGAAGTTTCACTGTGAAATACCTTATGTCATTAGAAAACTCCTTCTCATGGTGCCACCTGCTGCTCAGCTTCCAGTAGATCAGACTGATGAAGACCAGCAGGATGAAGATAAGGAGCAGGGAACCAACCACGATGCCAACGATCACTGCTGAGCTGTTTGGAGCTGAGAAAAACATTACATTTTTTTTAAACAGAGACATTTTCTCTTGACCTATTTTTAGCTTCATTTTAATAACAATGTGCTAATGGTTAACATGCTATTTTCTGGGATAATCCTGGTTTGATGTTGACGTAAACCAATGATGGTCAACTTTTGTTGTTTACCTTAACTAATTGTTAGTGTCTTTGTAAAATTCTGGGGATTCTTTAACAATGACACTGATGAGAGGAAACCAAGTGAAGAGAACATTTACAAACAGTGATTTTTTTTTAACTTTTTCTATTTTTTATTTTACATCTCTCCCTGTCACCCTCAACTAGTTTAAGTATTTCCCCGTAGTTGTATCATATTTAATTGTGGGTGTCCTTGTAAGTGTTAAACTTATTTTACCCAAAATTGTGCCCACATTTTTAGCAACTTTTTCTTAGCTTTGTGCTAAATGTAACTTTACTGCTTACTTTTAGCTTTTCCTGTGCTTGTTTCCGAAACATCATACGATATTATTTTATGTAATCTTTTTACCCCAGCTATCAGAACAATCGCTGTCCTTCCTGTAGAGGATTGTTATGATTTACAGGTTAAGTGAATGAATTAGTTTTTGTTCAGATTAAATCCTTTTTCTTTTTTTTCAGCCTGCTATTCCTGGATGTAGGTGTGTTGCCATGCAACAGGACAGAAGGAAGAACCTGTTCAAAGTCAAATACATTCAGCAGCAGATAAGTGTCTGCCTTTTCCACTACGTGTTGCTGGTTTAATCACTTTTATAATCACTTTCATTCTGCTGTCATAATTAAACTGTCTTTTGCTTTTTGTTTAAGTCATTCGTTTCCTCTTCACTGCTGTAGCCTTCACCATAAAGTCCAGGGTCTCTGTGGTTTAAATTGGTTCTTTCTGGAGATAAATGTCTCAGATTTATCGGCGTTCTTGTTGAATACGGTGGTAAATACATTCATGTGCACATGCACACGTGTACGCTTCCTCACGTGTCATGGCTCTCAGGTTGATCCTGCAGCGCTCGGCTCCCACAGCATTGTTCACCTCACAGAAGTAAAACCCTGCAGAGCTCAGAGTGAGGTTTGTGATTTTCAGCTCACCACTGACACTGTCTGGGAGAAAACACACACGCAAACAAGTGTGAGCACACACACTGCAGTCCACGTGCAACGTGACTCAGAGAACACACAGGGATGTTCAACAATGAAGACAGATTTTCACAGGTTTTAAAAGGATGATTTTGACCTGTGTTCACCCATAATTTATTTATTTATATTTTCTTTCAGACTGCTCCTCCCAGGTCCTTCACTGCAGATTGTCTTCCTCCAACTCCTCCTATCTCCAACCTCCTCCATTTTTGGATTCTCATATTGACAAATTGTTCACTACTGACTCTTCTGTACCACATTTCACAGAGAGAATCGAGGTTTTTAGCTCCAAGAGATATTACAGTTGTGCATCGACAAATATGTTGATAACACTTTTTTTTTCTTTGACTCCACTGTTTAAAATCCTTTGTTTAGATTGACCTAACCACAAGAGGCAGAAGTGAACAATCAGCTCTGTGTTTTTCAGTGCCAAATCACTGATTTTCTCTATGGACTTTGGTCTGAGCTAAAATCACTGATTTTCTCTATGGACTTTGGTATAATGTGAAGCCTCAAGAAATGATGTTCTGTATCATGGCCAGAAGTGTTCAAAAACAGGTAATACAACAAACACATGCAACGTCCTCTTTGGTTGTGCAGTATCATGGTGACATCAGCAGAGGTCAGACTTACTCTGCTTGGCAGTGACAGGAAGTTGTACTCCACCTTCTCTCCTCCATGAATATTTCAAGGGGGATGAGCCTGTGTTAGAGTGACACTGCAGCGCTGCAGCCCTTCCGACCCACGGGTCTCCCTCCAGCCAACACTGGGGTTCAGAGGGTTTCACTGAGAACACACATACACCGACAGAGAACATCAGCATACTCTCTTCATCTTCATCCTCATTTTAATAATTCTTATCCTCATCATTATCCCCATTAATTCCATCATCATCATCAACATCATATGTATTCTCATGGTCTTCATCTTAATCACTGCCATCTTGATTATCCACTTGCTCTTCATCGTCTTCATCGATTCTCAGAACTGTCCTGCCCAGCCTCCTGGAATTTGGGGGGTGGGGGGTGGACCCCTGTTCAAGCCCATTGTCACAGCTATTATGACAGTGAGTGATGTCACAGTCAGACCCAGGCAGCCTCACACGAGGACTCCCTGCTTATTCACCAGGCAGGACAAATGGAGAAGCCCATGGTTATTCATGAGAGCCTGCACTTCCTGTGTTGTCCAGCAGGTTTACGTCAGCTCAGTCCCAGGTTCAAATCTAATTATGGTGCAGGGTTCTGCTGTTTCCACAGGAGGAGATTTCATCTCCAACGCTGCCTGCGTTTTCATCCTGACAGAGCCGAGCGATGATGCAAATCCTGAGAAATCCTTCTGCTCCATCCACTCAGTCGTTCCAAGGATGGGAGGAAATGAATGGGAGTTGATCAAAAGGAGGTGAGGATAAGTGGAACAGTGCCACAGCTTCAGGTCCAGATCCCTGACACCAGTTGGTGATGATGATGAAATGGCTTTAGTCTGAGCTGCAGGAAGAAGAATCTGGAACCAATGTGGTTTTATAGAATGTTTCTATCCATAAATAAAGGCTAAGAGTTCAGACTAAGAAGAGAATTATTTTAACAACAAAGAAAGACGATGTTTTATACCCTGGGGGAAACTCACAAGACTTATTTCTCAGTAGAAGATGGTTTTAAATCATCAACCTTTGGGCTAAGAACCCAGCGCACTTCCACTGCAGCACCCCACTAATAGGAACACAGACCAGATCTAGACTGATTTGAATCTATAAAAGTCTAGAAGACAAGAGACTGAAACTAACCAGTCTGAGATTAGGAATAGTCAGAACTGGAACTTAATCCATTCCAGACTAAGTCCAGATCATGATTCAGTCCATGGATACAAGAAGAAATTCTCTGTTATTTCTGTATCCTGATTTGACTTTTGAATTAAAACCATTTAAATGTTTTTTTTATGTTGACCACACCGTCATTTGCACGTCTTAGAATTAGGAGGTCACTAGTTCAATTTCCGGCTCCATCTGCAGCTCTTTTTCTATGGAGTTCTCATGTTCTCACATTGTTCGTTTTCCCCCAGGTCCTCCCATTCCCTCCCACAGCCCAACAACATAAAGACTGATCACTCCAAACTGACCGTAGGTGTGAATGATGATATGAATTTGAGATTTTATTAATCCCATACTGGGGAAATTCTTGTGTTAACAGCAGATCTCCTGCAACAGGCTTTGAATTCACCCTTAGAGAGTTCTTGGTTTGATTCCCAGAGGAACCACATAGAATCACGGTGTGGTTCCTCTGGGAATCAAACCAAGAACTCTCTAAGGGTGAATTCAAAAATTACCTGCTAGCAGTGGGATTCAACCCCCCCAAAGACACTGAATGTGAGTTTGAATGCTTGGCTGTCCCTAGATGTGACCCCAATCTCAGTTCTTACCCAGAACCATCAGAGTCACCTTCCTTGTGTCCACCCCAGGTGCTTTCTTCACTTTACACTGGTAGGTGGCGCTGTGAGCAGGGGTCAGAGCAGCGATGGAGAGTGAAGCGTCGCCCTGAGAAGGATCTGTCACTGTGAAGCTCAGACCTTTGCCAAGAACCTGGTCATGGGTGTACGTGATTCCTCCAGAGAAGGAGAGGAGCTGGAATTCAGAGGAGGCTTCATCGTTTTTTTTTATCGTTAGAACAGAACGGAACTAAACACATAAATAAATGTCTGATATCAGATTGTAAAAATGTTTTTGTCTTTTTTAGGAAACTGGAAAATAATGAGGAGAAATGTTGAGTTTTGACAAAGGTCTGGGAGGAGGACTGAACAAAAACTGGAGGAGAAACTGAACCACATCTGTGAGCCCTGTCTGAGAGCAGGAGCTGTGGTCCAGCCAAAGAACATAAGGAACTAGGAACATAACAGGTATAGTACCGTGAACATTTGCAGTTTACTCCGCTACATTTACTTGAGTACGTTTTTTCAAAATAAAATACTTCTAGATGTCGTTTTAAATCACTATACTTTTCACTAGATTTATGAAGAAGAAGCAGTACTCTTACTCTGCTACATTAGGCTATACTGAGCTCGTTAATTTGATCAGAAATACTGGATAAAGCTTTAGCTGTCCAGTATCCAGTTCTCCATTCAGCCATGATCAAGTGTCTCTACTTTTATTTTGTCAGAGAGAGACTTCCGCCTAAGAAACTACCACATGACTATGTTTAACCAATGAAACGTAGCCCTTGCCGTGCAGTCTCGTAACGTGATCATGCTCAATCTCAGCGGCGGGACGGGTTAGTTTAGTGGCTACAGCTGTCGATATCCACAGTCAGCAAAAAATGGTAGAATCAACGGTCGGTAATGCAGACGAAGACGAGGAGGCACACGCCTGGCCTCATGTTGAAAGCATGTTCAGTTTACAAACAGTACGGAACAGCAGTTACACCATGCGGTGTCTTCCGTGTCTCCCAAAACAAACATATATATTATAGATATTTTAGCATTTAAAAACTTAACGTCTAACCTGAGCAAATGTTGCGGTAAGTTTGACCTAAAATCTTTTTTTAAGTTATTTTGTAAATATGTATTTTTTAAGTATTCTTTTATGTATTATTACATATTAGTAAGTACTTGAGTTTACCTTAAGATTATTTTAAGGTATTTAATTAATTTGTTTTTATTTTATTATGTTAACTCTCCTCTCTGTAATTTTATCTAATTAAATGTTCATTAAAAACTTTTACTAAGTACTTTTTTACTCTCAAGTAATTATTTTTTCTATTTTGTGTATTTTTGTCATTGGATGACTACTCTTTACTTCTACTTGAGTAATATTATTCTACAGTACTGTAGGATTGTTGAATACGGTGGTAAATACATTCGTGTGCACATGCTCACGTGCACGCTCCCTCACGTGTCTTGGCTTAACAGTACTTTTACTTGAGTACAATTTTTGGCTACTCTACTCACCTCTGAACATTTGTTACCAGGAGCATTAAATACCAGGAACTTTCCTCACCATTTGGTCCTTGTGGGTGGAGTCTGGACTCAGGGCAGACCACTCCACGTCCAAATCTCCAGAGTCAACTCTGAGAGAACTCCTGTACTTGCAGCCCAGGACTACACTGTCACCTTCTGCCTTGAGGACTGTCTGTGGACCAGTGGAGACCACCTGCAAACCCCCAGCTCCTGTAAGTCCTGCGAATGGTGACAGTAACAGAAAAGGTTGAACAAAAATGTGCTTTAACTCCTATTATTATTAGTAAAAATATTACTGAAAAATAACAACCTAAAATAAAATAACAGGACATTCACTGGTCTCTATCAAAAAAACTTATCCAGAGTAGAACTTTGTTTCTGTAAAATCATTTTTGTATAGAAATGAAAGAATAATCACATTCAATTTAGACTAATAGAGGGATAAGAGTCGTTTCTCCATCAAATTCATCTGGGATGAAGCTTCTCCACATGGATCTCTTAGCTCCATGGAAACTCAGGAGGAACAGCTGACACCACTGAGGATTGAAGAGGAGCAACAGAAACTAAGGAACCTCTGAGGTCTGGAGGAGACCTGGGAACCAGAGTGCGTTCTTGATTTCTGAACTAAACACAAGTGAGTAATACATGATAAGTGAGTTCAGATGTGACATGTTATTAAAATAGTCAGTGAGAAAAACAGTATATATCCGAAAACAAAGTGAAAGTTGGGGTTTATGTGTGTGTGTGTGTTTGTGTGTGTGTGTCGTTCCCACCTGTACTCAGCAGAACCACAGTGTGTACCAGGAACCCAACGGTGCACAGACGACGGCTCGGTTTTAACATGATGATGACGATCTGGAGGAAGGATGATGAAGAAAAAAACTCGTCTACAAAAACAGCAGTGAACATGTGACTGTTAAAGGTACAGTACAACATTTATCTGAGTGTGGAAGTAAAAAAAAGACACACACACACACAAAAATGTCTGCAAACACAAACTCACAGCAACAGTGAAACGTCGATTGTCACCCTCTCATCCTCCCACTCTTACTCCTCCCACTCCTCCTCCTCCTCTATGTTTCTTCCACAGTAAAACAAAGCCTACACACACACACCTGTTCTACCAGTTCACCCACTCATTCTCCTGATTACACTTCAACACCCTATATTCAGGCTATGTCGTACATTGAAGTCATAATAATAATAATAATAATAAATTTTATTTAAAAAGCGCCTTTTAGGACACTCAAGGACACTTTACATCAAATAATAAAACAGATAATAATTTAAAACAGGGCATAGAAATAAAATAAAGAACAGATAATAATTTAAAACAGGGCATAGAAACATGTTTAAAATCAGTGATCTTCTCAGACTGGACTTTTCTCTGTTTCTTCGTTTTTTGTTTTTTCTTTACCTTTAATGTTTAACTGAGCAGAGATCACAGCTCGACCAGGTTCTCCATCGTACATCTTGGTGACTTCTACTGCCCTTCTGTCAAAGAGTGAAAGCCTTAACATGTATTCAAAGATTGTCTACATTTAACATCAACATAAAACGTTAGCCAGGGAGGTGCCAATATTTAGCCTTGTTACCCAGAAATGTAGCAAAAGACAGACAAAGACGGCCTGCTAAATATTAGCCAAATATAAATGAAAGAGACAGTGATTAAAAAAAAAAAAAAATTAATATTCAGAATCATTAAACGTGTACTTTCTATATATACACAATATGAAGCTTAGATGTGGTGAAATGTCATAGGCATAGCTAAAAGTTAGCCAAATATAGCTGAAAAGGTAACTTAGCCAAAACTACCAGTCGGTCAGTTAGCCACATTATAGCTTTGCAGCCGTTTTAGTTAAAGTGGACAAATAGTTAGCTAAGGACAAATGAGCTAATGTATAGACAAATTGATAGAAAAGCATGAGTCATTTTGTAGAGATGACAAACATCACTCTCTGAGGTTGGTGGGTTGGTTTCCACTTGGAACTCACGGCTGCAGGTGCAGCTCCTCCTTCATTTCTCTGATTTCTCAGGTGGCAACTGCTGTAGTTTCTGATAATAAAGAAGACAAAGAGAGGACAGAATGTCTCAGGTGTCAGTTTCTGCTGCTGAGGCTGCTGCTGCTGCTGCTAAGGCTGAGCAACACCCACTGAGGTCTTAAGATGTTATTGGCCAGATTCATTAATGGTTAGGGAAATAAAAAGACCAGTGAGAGGAAGATCACAGTCAAGTCTGTGTCTAGGAACAAATTTGTTTTATTAGAATGGAAACTTCAAACTGAGTAGTTTATATGACATTTTCAGTCATCGTTTTATTTTGGTAAGAATATATACAATATTTGTTCTTATTTTTCTCCTGACTAATTTTATAGAGAATTCTGGATTTGTTGCTAATTCTGATATAAGTCTCAGTGAGTGAGTGGGTAAGTGGATGGGTGAGTGTGTGGGTGGGTGAATGGAAAGGTGGGTGAGTCAGTGAGTGAGTAAGTGGGTGGGTGAGAGTTAGTGAAATAATGGGTGAGTGAGTGAATGGAAAGGTGAGTGGGTGAGTCAGTTGGTTGTGTGGGTGACCGAGTGAATGAGTGAGTAGGTGAGAGTTAGTGAGTTAGTGGGTGAGTGTTTAGTATGGTAAAGCCATACCATACTAAACTGTCCCTTAAACGTTAGTTCTGCAGATGTTTTCAGGGTTTTTAAACTGCCTGGTCAGTCTTTATAACAGTCTGTCACTAACTAACAATGACAAACTTGACTACAACAACAACAACAGCAGCTATGACTTATAATGCTACACCAACGACTCAGGCGGTGACAACAACGCCAACGATGAAAAAGCAGGCAACAAAGAGCAACAACATCACTGATGTCATTGTCTGCTGTCTTCAGTCTGACATGCGAGTGTGTAATCATGGATTCTTTCTCTCTCCCTCTCTTTCTCTCCATCAGCTCCTGTTGTTTTCAGTTTGGACAGTTTTCATCAACACTTCTCTCTTCGGCTCCATCCTGACCCAGTTGGCAGGAAATCCCTCGCCTAGATTCCAGCAACAAAAGCTTGTGAGTCTTGGACAGAAGAAGTTTAACATCTGTGTGATGAAATATTCATTTAAATCTGAGCTGTTAACGACTCAGGCTCTGAATCAGATCCAGGACATAAAATTAGTCAAAGGGAGGATTTGGACATTTGTAGAATTATTATTCTACCACAGGAAAAAGTCCCAAGATAAATCAGTCCTAAGCTGTTATGGAGTAAATGAGTGGAATTTTTTACATAACTCACAAAAAGCTGAAGACATGGCATGGATGGAAACAGTCATTATTTTGGGTTTTAGACAGTCTGTAGCTGTCAGTGGTCTTCACAGTCTGATTCCCCTCTTCATCATCTTCCATACATTTTCAAAAGAAGACAGATTCATTAGCTCTCTCAACCCGTTTACCTTCTTTAGTCACTAAAACTTAGCTTAGCTTAACAATAAGTTAGTATTCTGTTGGTCTTTGTTGTTGCTGCTAGTCATCCGTTGTGATTATTGTCTACTATCTCTACTCTTTTAGCACCATCTGCTATATTAGCTTTTCTTGTCTCTACTAGTTATGTTTGCTCTGTTAGCTTTGTTTTGCTTTGTTATTTCTGTTCTCTACTTTCATTCTTTCTTTATGTTAGCTTTTAGATACATTAAATTCAATGTATCTGACATTAAAAGCTAATATATATTTATATATATACATATATATAAATCTATGCTAACTCTCTTTTTCACTACTAAAAGAGTATCAACTTCAGGAAGTTTTTGACCATTCAAGGAGAAAAACATTACACAAAGTGTTCCAGTTTACTTTTATTTTCCTGATAAATGGTTAAACCAAGGACACCTGAGGTCACGGCCTCCTAAATCCTTCATGTTGCTGCGTTTCCTGTGTGACTCATTTTTTACAGAGAAAACTGTAAGAGTACAGCAGAGACGATGGAGAACCAACCTCTGCAGCACACACATTTACATCTCGGTGAAATATATGGTTGTGTTTCCTGAGGCCGCACGCTCACACAGACACACAAACATCATGCCGCCGCTGCGGCTGCTGCTTTTTTATTTTTATTCTTTTTATCCCTCTCACAGCTGCAGTCAGTGGTTTTTAAATATAAATGCATGTTTTTTTTACAGATGTGATGAAACAGAGCTGATTGTGATTTTCACCCCCACATGACCCTCTGTGGGTTTCCATGTTTTTATCTTTTATTTTATTTACATAGCTGCAGAGGAGGAAGAGGAAGATGTTTTACATAAAAACCGTAGATTCTCTACAACAACACACACGGTTTCTTACCAAAGCCTCAGTTTGGAGCGTTGACATTTTCAGGTTTGTGTTAAATGACGGATTTAAACAGTTGATTCACTGGAGCACATTAAAAGGCCAGTAGCAGAAATTTAAAGTCAGGAATCAAATACATGAATGTGAAGGTAAGATTGTTAGAATCTGCTGACCTGCTGACCTTTTCTTAAAAATCGTCTGCCTCCAGAACTCTTCAGTAGGTGGCGTTATGCAGCACATCTAGGTTCACCCTGGTCACATTCAGCTGCAGCAGCTGGTTTTCAGTAGCTGATGAAAATCCTTGCAGTAGGGTGCGCTGTGGACCTGGACTGTTTGCCTTCATCCCAGCAGGGGGTTCTTTGAGCTGCTGCTCTTGATTGGAAAGAACTCTGCAGGCTCTCCTCAAAGGGCTCAAGCTGCAGTTTACAGTTCACATCCCTCACTGTCAGAATAAAATTATTTTCTATTTTTGATTTTAAAAAAAAGTATTTGACCTTATTCAGCCCAACATTTAACACCGTGAACTTTAGATTTTTTTATTTGATAGATTTCCTTCTCCAACAGCCAAACAGCCAAAGTTTTCTCTCTTTTTTTCATTTCGTTTCACTGCTGCTGATTTTCAATCTGTCTTTTTTCTCTCACAAAAACAACAACTCCGATCAAATATAAAAAGACTGCAGGGCTTTAGCTGCTCACTATTTATTTGTTTGAAGGAATCTCCTGCAGCTTTTTCACCTACAGTGTTTTTTTTTTTTTAATATTTCATTGTATTTGTTTGGTTGGTTATATAGCCATAGTGTTTTGGTTTTTTTTTTTACTATAGAAATGAAAGGAAAAGACAAGTTATACCTGCAGCAAAATATGTATACAAACAAAGGAAATGTAAAGGGCAAGGAAATATATCATTAGCAATCAGCTAAAATATATGTGTAACAGTAGAGGGATTTAAATTTAGCTAAAGTTCAGCTGACTACAGTTATTTGATGCAGAAAGCTGTGTTGGTCTGAGAGTGTCTTCACCTGCACTGTTCACTTGTTGTTGTTGTGCAGCGGTGAACAGAGGACCAGTGACACTGTTGGTCTGGGGGCAGCAGCAGCAGTAAAATCAGTGTTGGAGTGAAGGTTCTCTCACTCTCATCTCTGACACCAGGCAGCAGTAAAATTTTAACAGAGCTTTTTACACTTTCACATTTAACACACACACACACACACACACACGTACTGTGTTTCACCTGTTTTATCTTGTACGTTTGTCCTCAAGTCAATGGACACGTTAAATGTCCCCACAACAGTAAGCTTCAGACATGCCCCCTACACCCCCCTCCCCAACCCTCCTGCCCTCCAGTCACACACATCAGTAACCTGTTCTCCATTCCATCTCCTTCCTCGTTTCTCTCTTATCTCCTCACCTTCATCCATCTTTAATAAAATATCCCTCAGGGTTTTTTTTTCTCCCCTCCCGTCTCTCACTCCCTCTCAGTGATTTATCATCTGTTTGCCTTCACTGCAGATGAGACGGTGTTTCATTTATTCACTGTGTTTATGCAAGAAGTCGAAGAAGAAGAGGAGGAGAAACTCTAGAACAGTCCTAGAATATGACAGTATTTATAACCAACTAACAGCTAGAGTTTTGCCAAAGAATAGATGTGTTAAAATAAAATCTAGCCAGAAATAACTACCTGACTCAGTTATCTAGTTGTCTCTGCCAGGTAGTTAATAGAGATAACCAGTGACTTTAGCTCATAGAGACACACAACAGTTGTTGAACAAATAAAAACAGGTATGAAACAAAGACATCAGCCTGCTGTTAGTGTCTCTCTGTTCCAGCAACAAACAGGAAAAAATTGTTCAGTTCTGTGATATTTTTGGACTTCTTTTTTTGGAAATTCTTTGTTTAGATTTACCCAAGTGACAGGAGTTGGCCACCAGAGGCAGCATGGACCAGCAGCTCCTGAGTCTCTGATCCTTTTCTCTAGACTGCAGATTACTGTGTGTGTTGAAAATGAGAGGTTGTGAAAACGACAGTTAAATGACTGTGTAAGGAGATAGTGAGGACGTGTTTGGACAGTTCCAAAGTCATGACATGAAGCTTCTGTTGTCGTCTGTGTATCTTCTCAGAAACCAACAGTACTACTGTCACGCTGAAGACATCTCACTGTCAAAGCAGGC